GCACCAGACTCTGCACCCACCAAGCTCAGGCGTTAATCACCGCTGCTCGGGCCGTGCCAGCCTGAGCGCACCTCAAAGCACCCGCGGGTCCCCGCCTTGCGAGCCAGCTTCCCAAATTGAAAATTAGCGAAGCTCGCTTTTAGGATCGTTTACTCTCCCCCTTTGCAATGGCCCGTTCTTTTTGGTAGTTTCTCTGCACTGTGAATATCGGGCGTTTCTGCACTTGCCACTGGGGACCTGGCCCCCACTGACTCCATTGCCAATTAACACCAGGTAATTAACACATTTGCAGGGGCTGGTTGAATCTCATCCTGACGTTTTCTGAACTGTGCAGGTTTGAGGAGCGTCTTCATCAGCCTTCTGAAGTCCTTAACTCCCAGCTCCCTGGCAGCCCAGGAGCCAGCGCTAAAACCTGGGGCTGTGCCATTAGGGCAAACATGCCCCAAGACGCAAACATATTAAGGATTAATTAAATACCAGATTTTATTTAATTAAGCCTCTTCTGGTAAGCAGGCCTCTTCCGTGCCGTTTTTCAAGCACACGCGGACCTTGCTGGCGGTGCTTAACGCAGCACAGGGCTCCGCTCGCCGCGCGGTGCCCAAGGACAGGCAGGGGCAGCTCCACCAGAAAGCAGCTGCCGCGGGGAGCGGCACCGCGAGCGGGCCCAGCGCCTCGGTGCAGCGCTCAGGTTGGGTGCTGCCAGTGCAGAAGAAAGGGGGAGACCAGGCATGGGGACGGGGCTGGACGGGTAGGGCAGGAGGGGCTTACGGCTGGACTCCATCTCCAAGGGCTTTTCCACCCACAACGGTTCCGTGAGCCCAGCGAGCGCCGCACGGAGGGGCCCAGAGTGCGGGACGGCCCCGCGTGGCCTCTAATGCTGCAGTTCTAGAGCCACCAACGCCGCTTTCCCACGGGGCTCCCACTTACTGTCCACGCAGCCACCCAGAGCAACCAGGACTTTATTGACTGGAAAATACATTAACCATAGAGAATAGAGCTTTAGTGTTTCTTTCGGAACAACAATAAGGAACAGTTGACATAAAAAAAACAAAAGCATGAATAAAATAATATAAAACAGATATTATACCACACTGTGGACTTCAAATAATCTAAGAACAGCAGCAGCACTTCTACAAATATATTAAAAGCTGTAGTGCTCATTAATCTCCAATAGAGCAACTCCCCAAATGGCATCAACCTTTAAGAGCAGCAGGGCAGCACAGGCGTCCGCGGGTGCCCGGGACCGTCGCGGAGCGGCCGCGGGAGCGACCCCCTGTCCCGGCACGGAGCCCTCCCCGCGCCGCCGCCCGGCACAGCCGGCACGAGGGCACCCAGGCGCCCGCGGGTTCAAGCCGAGCATTGGATTCATTGTGCATGGGATTCATCCTGTGTGCGCAGAGCAGCTTTCTCCTGCCCTGGCTCCTGGGAATTTCCCTCTGAGAAGGGGTGGGATTTCTGAGAATTAAGGCGGATCAACCGTATGTCGTTGTGGAAATGGAATCTAAGCAGCTCGGGTTCCAGTACTGAGATTTTTAATCTATCATCTTCCCTAGATGTGGAGCAACATGGATTCTTAAAACTTGCATGCTATTTTTGGGGGGTTTTGTGCATAGTTTAAATGCTAACAGATTTTAAAAGTGCTTTTTAACTCCCCCTCCCACCCCCCGCCCCCCTTTTAGCAGCTTTTTGGTTCCCACTGAGCGGGGATGAGAAGCGGTTCCCTCGTGGCTCCCCTGCCCACGCGGCCGCTCCCGGGCTGCCTGCTCCGCTCCGGGCACAGAATCAAGCAGAGGAAGTCGCTAAACTACTGAACTGGCATTAAAGGTTGCACGTCTTTATCACTGGCCTAAGATTAGACACGTACTAAAAGGGGGATGTGGCTATTCCAAGAAGAGCCGTTATCCGGAGATCCGGCATCCTGAGGACGGCTGGAGGAGGCCGGAGCGCCGGCTGTGCAAGGAGGGCAGCTCGGGCAGGGAAGCGGCTCTCGGCGCCAGGCACAGGGCATTGGGGTGCCCGTCCCCAACGAGAGCAACGGGCTTGGGGGCCACAGCAGCAATGGGCACCGCTGCCCGCTCCAGGGAGCGCAACGCTTTAACACAGAGCTCGGAGACGCGAGTCTGCTGCAAGCTCCAGCCCTTCCACCTGGCTAGCAAACTGTCCCTGGGGCTGTGCGTTGTGCTCTTCTGCTAGTGACTTGTGCTCAGGCAAAACTGAAGCCCAGAAACTGTGCCTAGAGCTGCCCGGTCCCGGTGAAGAGCCCTCAGACTGCCCGGGCAAAATCTTCTCGCAGACGGACTGATGAAATAAGAATCATCTTGGTCCTGCTGAGGAACTGGCCCATTGCTGGCTGAGCAGGAGGCCACCTATTTATTCTAAGATATTTTTTCAAAGCAAAGCTTAGGTGGGGAGAATTTTTAAGCGGAGCCCATATCTGTTTTGAGGACTGTTTGCCACAGTGGCTCCCAGTGCAGTGAATTACCCGACTGATGAAAATAAACAGAGAAAGAAAGGGCAGGCCAGGCCTCACAGCTAAAAATAACAAAAGAAAAGGAGAGAGAATCAGAAGAATCTCATCCTGCTGATTTGCCCCTGGCCGCAAGCCTCAAGGTCTGCCCAGGGCGGGGGTCTCCACTTGCCCACAGCTGGATTAGTCCTGTCAAAACCCGGACTCGGAGCTGCCACATCAGCAATAATCACTGCTCCTCATGCAATTTTTAATTATCAGTGACGTGGCTGCCGACACGCACATTTCTGTCAGTGTTAGCTACAATAAAAGCTATATTTGGAGATGTTAAGAGCTGACAAGAACCTACAAGGCTGTTTGCGAGAAGAGCAGTGGCAGCAGGAATCTCCCCTGCAGGAAACCCTCTCGGTCCTCAAGAGAAGTGCTAGCAGCAAAGCAACTCAGACGCTCCACGCAGCAACAGAAAAACTCCTATAAAAATCACACATTCAGGAACAAAGACAACTTCCGAAGTGCTTACACTAGTAACACTAAAACAGACGGGTACCAAGACGGATTTGGCAGAGCCAGCAGAAAGCTCAAACGCACAGAGATAATCCATGAACAGCGGCGTGCGGAGAGCCCGGCCGGAGCTGGATCCCTCCCTGTATCCGAACACGCAGGAGCTCTCAGAGGTGGGACCACGCAAGGTCAGAGCCTGCGAAGGAGAACACAAGGACCAGGATATTTCCCATCTCCCACAGGCAGCTGGCCAAAGTGTTCCCGTGCCCAGCTGGGATGGACTAGCTCCACGTTGGCCCTGGAAACCATCCACCTTTTCTGCTTCACATGAGCACAGAACATAACGCCGGCCCTCCGAGGCCAGAGACTCTACTTGCCCTGGGACATTCAGGAGCAGAGGATCCTCACTGGGTTTTGTCCGAGTGACCCTGGAGCAGTGCAAGGGCACACCGGCTGCAGCAGCTATTCTGCATCGACACTGCTTCAGAGCGCTGATCCCCTCTGCTAACATGTGGGGCAGGGAACTCAATACTCCCTTCCTATCAAACCAGTCCCATCAGCTGCACAGCAGGGTGACATCAGTCCCCATCTAAACACAGCCTGACATATTAGAGCATTGGGACTATCCAAGCCCATCAGACCTCAGCTCGGCACCTTTTCCTACCCACGGTGCTCCTGCCTTGGATCCCCTTGACCCACAGGGCCGCCTGCCTGCAGGGATCCCACCCCGCTGGAACATCAAGGCCGTGCTTCCCTTCCAGTTTTAAAATCCGAACCAAGCCCAAGCCAAGCTGAGGTCACCGCGGTTCTGCTCCGAGGACCCTGCTGCCAGAGAAGAACAGTTAGCACAGCACACGGAGAGTGACACATTGGCACATCATGGAACAGGCGCAATAGAAACCATATAGGTTTTCAAAGCAAAAGATTTCTTTCTCCCCTCCTCAAAAAATAACCCACTTAATTCACATATTTTCTCTCTATACTATATATATGTATATATAATATATAGACACAATTTTTGGTAAACATTTACAAGATATGTCTGCAATATTCAAAAGATATATCTCCATTTGCATAACAATGCACATTCACATAATTCAGTATACAAGGACACACAGTAATGTACAATCAATAAATAAATACTTTTTCCCAAAAAAGTTATTCAAAAAACACTGCTATCGAGCGGCCCAAAGACACTCTCAGGTAATACAGACAGCAAATATTGTGCAGAATTGCTTGGCTGTTTTTGTTTAAAAAAACAAGAAAAGAAAAAAATGATGCCTGAAAGATAAAGTGTCAGAGATGTTGTTTGATGAGACTGCATTTAAGTCAACATATTGGTTCTTGTCCCTCAGACAGGGGAGGAATTAGGGGAGGAATCAGCATCTTCCCTTCCCTTTTGGAAAAGATGGGGCAGTCAAATTGTCACCTGTCCTGAGACCTGGAGAGCCGCAGAGGTCTCTGAGCAGGAACGGTCTGGTCGGGAGGGCAGAGCTTCACTCTGCTTTATGGAAAGATGAAAGATTTCTATGCAAACCTGCAGATCTGAAGCTCGAGTGCTGCGACCCCTGTGCTGCTGCACTCTGCAGACCAAGCACTTCCTGGAGACTGAATACATAAAACTGCCTCCAAGTTTCCGAGCATTGTTGGAACATGTTCACTCACCGGGAATAGCAGGAATTAGAGGCTCCCCATTGCTGTCACCCCTGCTGCAGTCCTCTCCTGTAGCTGTAACCCCCCGGATCCCAGCACTGCAGACAGGCTCATCTGCTCGGGTCCTGCAGGCTGCTTTACCAGGCGCCACAGGGCTCTTCTGAAGCAGCAGCTTTCTCCTCTGTAGCTTTACATGTTCTCTTTGTTCTACAAGCAACACCTGACACGTGCCACAACTAGGTACAAAACACAGTGGGCACAGACGGATGTTCCATGGGAGAGGGAAGGGCCCTTTCCTCTCTGGTGAGCAGCACGGAGCAGCAGGGCCTCACCTTGCAGAGGGAAGGAGGGCAGCACACACACACACCACGCACTTCGAGGGCAGGGAATACAGATTTTTGCAGCAAAACTTGAGAGCAAGGACCCTTAGAGAGAGCTCCAACAAAGCGTGTGCCCCGCTGCTAGGAGCACGCGGTCACGGCCGTGTCCTGGGCCACGAGAAAGCCCTCCCTGCCTGATCCAGACCCAAGAACAACCCACCCCTCTCCTTTTCCTTTGTGTTTTTTACCTGAGTTGAAAAGGGATGCAAAGGTCCCGCAGCGCAGCCCCGGGGTGCCACTGGGCCCTGGGGTGCTGCAGGGACCCAGTGTGCTGCAGGGACCCAGGGTGCTGCAGCGGGAGAGCCCCTGCCCGTGTCTTCCAAGGCGGCCGCCTCCGGGTCTCCCGGGTCCCTCCTCCGGGTGCAGCGGGGAGCAGTGGCCAAGCCCGGCCGGAGGCTGCCTGCAGAGCAGAGGGCTCCGCACGCACAGCCCAGCCCTGCAGGCACCGTGGGGCTGCTTGCACGGGCTGGCCACGGGCAACCGGGCGCTTAGTTCCCAGAGGAAGAGACAGGCACCTCGGGAGGGAGAGTCAGAAAAGCCACCATGGTCGGGAGCCTTGACTTGCCTTCCAAGGAGCTGCCCCGCACGGCTGCGGGAGCCACAGGGACACCAGGCTCCTAACGCAGGCAGCGAGATAAGGCAGGTATGAAAACCTCAGCTCTGGAGTCCCCAGGTGAGGTTAGGACCAGATTTTCTAGTGCTTGGAGCCCACTGCAGAGGCTGGATTTTGAAAGAGAAATCCAATGCTGAATTCAGAGCTCTTCTGAAAATCCCCCTCGAGTGGAAACTCTGTGTGCTCAATTTCTAGAGTAACAAAAAAGTGTAAAAACCCCAGGGTGATGCTATGCACCAAGGGGCAAGATCAAAGAAGAGAAACTTCTGTGTTCAAAGTCCCTCTCTGTTCCTGGTAGAACCTCATACTGCTTGTTAGAAAGACAGTATTGAGAGCATCCCGGTCTTGCCTGGGCTTGCAGGGCTGGCTGGGTGCCCTGCCGGCCAAGAAGCAGCTTTATTTCCTTGCAGCAAAGGCTGTGGAGCCCACGGGGGCCCAAGGAGGCTGGCAGCCCTGCTCTCCCCGGGATGCTGGCAGCTGCCTTTGCAGTTGTAGTGGTAACCAAACAGGCTGCACTTCTACTGCAGCAAGGCAAGAAGTGTCTGCCCGGGCTCTGCTTCCAAAGCAAGTCTTTAACAAGAAAATGCAATTGTACAGATCTTTGGTCAAGTCACTGCAGAATGCCGAGAAGAACGGAGCCAGGGTCCCCGGACCTAACACTGAACACAGCACTGATAGAACTAAAGGTACTTCCACTTGAGGAAACAGTAGGTGTCCAGCTACCTTATTTCCACAGGTGTGGCACTTCAGGAACCGAGGGGGCAGGAAGCATCGGAGGGGCGTCCCGGCTCTTTGTCTGGATGTCTCTTCTTACCCAGGTCCCTCACTTGTTCTCGATCAGAGTCTGGACTTTATAGACGAGATCGCGGGCCAGCTTCAGGATCTGCTTGGTGTTGTGCCGCTCGGCCATTTCTGCAACAGAGACACAAGGAACCCATGAGGAGCCTCGACCCAGAGCCCGCGGCACCTCCGGGGAGCACCCCAGGCCTCGGCGCTGTCTGCTTCACACAGGACTTTGAGACGGCAGCTAAAGCTGCCAATTTGTGTCTGAGTTCCAGGCACCATTCCCTGGGGAGACAGCTGACTCAGAAGGCCCTTATTAACCAACTCATCGCTGAACGATTACTGCCAAGAGGAATCCAAACCCACGCTCAGGGCTCACGTCAAGCACAGGAGGTGTTTAAGCAACTCTGAAGCTGGCTTTTCCCCAAGCACCTCAGGACCCCCTCAGAGCCTTGCCCTTCAGCAGCACGTTCCAAATACCTGCCCCTCAAACCATACGCTGCTCTGTTAATTTTAAACATTCATCAGCATAGTCAGACATGTAGCCTCATCACAGACATTTGCTGGTTACATCTGAGCAGCTGCTACAAACTCAGCCCAACAGAACACAAGCTGTACCATTGAAAAACTTGATGATGTCTGTGAAATCCATGTTGTTCTCCAAGATGATGTCCCGGTACATTTCCACCAGAGCCAGGGCTATGAAGAGCACATAGTGCGCAGAGGAAACGTGTGCAGCTGCCCAGATGGTCTCCCAGACAGCAAATACATCATCATACACCAGTTCTGCGAACAAAGGAGAAAGCCCCCAACGTTACTAAATGAGACAAAGGTCTGCAATCATCATCCCCATTCACAGAGGTCACAGAAACCCTGGGAAGACAAGCGAGACAGTTCCTTCCCCAAGAGCCAGCTCCAACTGGAGAGAATAAGTAGAGACATCTGTAGAGACAAACAGTGTGGCCTGCAGCAGGTGACAGGCTGCAGGGCACAAACGTGGTGGAGGCCGAGCACACGCTCTGGGGAAACGGGCTCTACTTAGAAGAGTCAGCCACAAATCCACCAGAGCAAAGCAGAACAGGATCATGAGCAAAAGTCCAAACAACTGAAATTGCAGAGTCAAAATGCATTTAGAAAGGTGGAAGCACACCAGACCTGCCTCCCTTCCCATTTGCTGGCCTCAACCGTCTCCCTCCCTGCACTCACCTCTCTTGAAGTCCAGGAGAAACCATCGGTAGCAGAAGTAGAAATGAGTGTAATCACCATTCTGGTGCATGAGCTCAAATAGCTCAGAGTCTAGAATCTACCAAGAACAGAAAGGAAAGGAGCATCAGTGCACATCAGATGCACCAGCCATTCTGCTACTTCCTTCCCTCTGCTCCCACTGCTCCCCTGCTGTGCCCACCATCTCCCACCTGACTTCTCCCTGCTTCACAACCCTGTCACCCATCACTCGCCCTACGCTCAGCACCTCCCTGCTCTCCTCCCGCCTCCCACCACAGAAACCTCCCCTCGGTCTCCCCTGGGGGCTCCGCTGCCCAAGCACAGGCCTCTCGCTGGCCCGCGAGGCTGCAGCCCCGTGCCGGGACCCACCTACCTGGATCAGAGATCTCATGTTAGCAAAGTGGGTGTCCATGGCTCCCCCATGGGGGAAATTCTGGTTCATCCTTTTCATAAGTTCGGTGAAACAGCTGAAAGCCAGAGCCTCTGCAGAAGGAAATAGAGTCACTGCTCTGCTGGGCCCGCCACTGCTGTACCTGGATTCAAGCATCACTATATCCAGCCATCCACGAGCACCAGAAATTCCCCTCTGCACTTCCCATGCACAGAGGAAAGGGTCTCCACGATCACTGAGCAAGGCTTGGCCATGGCCAGAGCCCACAGCTGACCCTCGAAGGGGTGCCACAGTCCCACCCGAGCAGGACACCTCCTGCCCCGCTTGGGCTACTCCAAGTCAGGCAGCAAAAGGGTGAAGCAGGATCCAGAGCTGCTCCCGCCTCTGAGCATGGGACCCGCCTGCCACAGAGAGGAACTGATGGGCAGACCCTCCCCACAGGCCCAGGCGGCCACTCACCGTCATCCAGGATGACCAGGAGAGGGGCCAGCAGGTCACACATGCCCTGCACGTAGCCGATCTCGATGTGCTGCCAGATGTAGCTGTGGGAGAGAGCAGGGAAGGCGGCGCGTGAAGCAGCTCGGCACGACACGGGGCCGGGGCCACCTCTGTACGTGAGCGCTCCAGCCTCCCGCTGGCCTCCTTCCTCGCCCTGCACGGGCTGCAGCAGCGCCCGCCATCCACACCACGCAACGGGAGCCCAGAGCAGGAACACGTGGTATTGGGGAGCGTGGCACCGTGGGGTGTCAAAGGGCAGGGCTGCCAGGGTCTGCACACTCAGCTCTGCTCCCCATCCTGCCCAATTCACTCCCATGGCCTCAGGAAGCTGCCTCCGCACCGCGCTGCTCCCCTGGCCTCGCTGCTCCCCTGGCCTGGCTGTCCTAGAGAGCGCCCAGCCACGCACAGACCCCATATTTGGGAGCAAGTCAAACGTGTTCGCAAAGCCCAGGATCCACTGCTGGCACAAGGAACGACCTTTTCCATCCTGCCCACTAGTCTTCCAAAATTTGCTGTATTGCAGCTCTCATCTCAGCAGAGATCTCCAACTCTAGCTGTCAGATGAAGTGACAGCTCTAATAAAATATCTGCTTCTCCTCATATTTGCAATATGAGTAACCAAGATTTAGCTTTCACTGTCTCTGAAGCAGCTGTAATGTCTGAGCTGGAGGTGGCTGTGTCTGTAAATGTCACACAGAAACCTCTTAGTCAGAGGGATAATAAAAAAAAATCATAAACCTACCCAGGTATTCCTGTCTCCGGGGTTCATTCTTAGGCATGAACCACGAGGCTGTTTCAGACACTTCTCATTAGCACTAGAGCTCTGCAGGGCAGGCCTCATTATAACATTTTCCTGGCATGTTCCTAAAGCAGTTGGGCTGTGTGGCTAGGAGCGCCAGGCAGCGTCACGGGTGACTGTGCCCAGCACAAGGACCTGGTGACTGCAAGGGCCCTGCAGCTCAATGTGGCCACCAGCTCTAGTGACGATGAAGGGATGTTGGGGCAGGAGGAGGCAAAACCCAGTAACTAAAGCAGAGAGTCTCGGACGCCAGGGTCAAGCTCAGAGGAGCACTAGGGCTGTGGGGAATATTAAGACGTAAATTCTGGGAGGGCAACGACCATGAGGAGCCTGTTCCCAGATAGACCTGTGCGCAGGGACGTGCCCAGGCCTCACCGCGGCCCCGTGCAGCTCCCACCTGCACATGATGTTGCGCAGTTTCTCCAGGTTGGCGGGGGTGAAGTACCAGTAGTTGCGGTCGCAGCGCTGCACGTCCTTCTCGATGCGGTGCAGGTTCACAGTGTACAAGTCCAGCAGCTCTGGCTGCCCAGAACAAAAGCGAAGTTGGTTTATTTTCAAGTTTAAATAAATAAATAAATAAACACAACAGGAATGTTGCAAGGGGAAAAGAGCAACAGGGCAGAGCTTGGGTGAAGGTGAGGAGCTGCTGTGCACATACTGCACACCTAACCCAGAGCAAAGGCAGGTAAACAAGATGCCCCTGAAGAAGCCTGCTGAGCGCCCTTGGCAAGCAAATACTTACAGAGTAGGTGACGCCCGACGAGGAGACAGGCGATGCCTCATTGTTGGCCAGATCAGTGACAGCCAGGGAATCCAGCTGCGGATACAAGCTCTCCATCTCGGGCTCCTCGGAGAGGTTATCTTCGCTCTCCACCAGGCTTTGCTTCTCAGCCTCGCTGTCTGCCCAGCTCTCCACCACAGTGAGGGCCACAGCGTCGCGGTCCTGCAGCACGGCGCTCTCGCCCGCTGCGCCGAAGCCCATGCCGCTGCTGGGGGGAAACTCGCCCTCCAGGCTGTCCTGGCCCTGCAGCCCGTGCCCCTGCAGGACAGGGTCTGAGCTCTGCGGGGCTGGCACCTCGGACCCACTGCCCTTTCCCTGGGAACTCGCTGAGGATTTGGTGGTTTCCAGGGCGCTGTCCTCATTGCTGAAGCTGCGCTCTGAGAATCCCGACGTGATGGAGAAGTTCTGGGAAGATGGATGGCCGGAGTCGGGGGAATATGTGCCGTTGGGAACCGTCCCATTGGGGATCTTGCCTTGTTTGCCATCTTCCAGCTGAGCATCTGCATCAGTCTGTTCCACTTCATCAACTGATTCGAACACCTGCACAGCATAAGCAGAGCCTCATGAGAGCAGGCAAGTCCTCCACACTCAGCACCCCTTGGGGACCTAGCGCCCACGCTCCCCACAGCAGCGGGGAGCAAACTCTGCTCCAGAGAGAGCTGTGGGTAGGTCACAAACAAATATATAGACAGACAAGTAAGCAGCAAACCATTCTTGCTCCTGCTTAGCCCTCCAGACCCCAAACGGGATGTCCCCAAGGAACAGTGTTGGGCATATCAATGCTCAAACAACAGCATAGCTACTCATAAAAAAACACACTTTACTCAGCATAATATAGCGTGCAGAATGCTGTTTAAGCCCACTGGTTAGACACGTGTTTGCTAATGCACGGAGCAGCCAGGAGCTCTCAGGTGTGAAGGCCACACAGGGTAGGGCTTTCCCAAGCGCCGGGGCAGAGCAGGCAGGTGAATATTGAACCTGCCCAAGGAGCCCTGACCTCGGGGCTCCCCCAAATACAGGTTTGCCAGGAACCATTGCATTACAGACGAGGGGTCAGCCCAAGCCTGGAGGCAGCGCCCGCTGTGCAGAGGCAGTGCTGGCCGGGGAGGGGGCCAGGGCACTGCCCCTTACCTGTGTGCTGGAGCTGGAGTCGCTCTGCAGCCGCGCGTGGTTCTGTCGGCCGGAGCTGCAGCTCTGCGAAGACTGCGGGAGAGAGGAGAAAGGCCAGTGAAAAGGCAAAAAGCACCGCGCAGCACCTGCACGTGCACAGGCTGCGCTAACAGCATGCGTGGAGAGCCAATGGAAAACGCAACCAAGGCGTTCTCGTCTTGATGCACAGAGCACATCTACTTCACATGAACTCTGCTGCACAAACCCGGCACCCAGCCCGGCACCCGCCTCAGATAGCAGCTGACATTTACTGCTGGAGAAGATGATAAAAAACAAAGTCTGGGGCCAATTCAGTTGTTCAAACACTGTAGGCTTGGTCTGAAATGAACTGCTTTCTTCTGGCCTTCCGAGAGGTCAAGCTGTCTCCCCAGACTGCAAGTTTCTGCTAATCCCTGTCCTAATTTGGCAGCAAGGCGACTCACACCATCTTGGTTTACATAAACCATGAAGTCACGAGGTATAAAACAATCCCTCTAAGCATACTAATGCTTTTTCCTATTCTTAAAAGACAAATATTGATGTTTGAAGCGGGTCTCAGCTGAGAGTCTGTCTAAAAGTCAATGGCAGCGTTTTCCGCTCCCAGCTGCAGTGCCGAACGGAGCCCTGGGCTCTGCACCAACCGGTTCAGAGCCTGGTCCTGGGGTTCCCTCTGGGCAAGGAGCCTCCTGCAGCAGCGAGTCCTGCCCTCAGCCCAAACAGGGCCCACGGCTGTGCAACAGCCTGCAGCTGCTCACACGCAAATCCAGACAGCCGGAGCCTCGCGGTCACGTCCCACGGAGACGAGAGCCTGAGGAACACACAGCACTTGGGGCACGGCGGCAGGAGCTGTCCCCACCCTAAAACGGTGGGTGTTTGCTGGGAAAGCTCTGAAGGAGAGAGGAAGGGCGAGAATTTTCCTCCATTTCCATGGGAGCGTTTTAAAACAGGAAATATCAGGTTTTAAAATGGGAAAAGGGTGAACCTTTGCATGCGTTAACTCCGTCGGCTCCCCTGCCTGCACACGTCCCCAGAGCAGGGCAGACAGATACAAAAAAAGATCAGAGGAGACGCTGCAGAGATGCGAATGATTCAGAGGCAGTGCAGGGCCGGCCGAGCAGCCCACTCGTGCTCGGCACCCGCGAGAGCTGCGTCATCGCAGCCCCTGCGCACAGCCCTGCCTCCCGTCTGCCTTCCCCGCATCTCTCCTCTCTGCACACCCATACAGCCCACACGGCTGGAGCCAACCTCGTGTCTTTCCAAAAATACCCGCAGCAGCTCCCAGCAGAGGCCGGAGGAAGCCTCCATGGGGCAGGCACGTAGCTCACGGTGCCTGGACACACACCTGCCCCAGAGCCCCCTCCTCCTGCCACTGCAGACCCCGGTCCTGGGCCGTGGTTCTTGCCTGCAGAGCTGCAAGTGCTACTGGGCACCCCACTGATGTCCAACACCCCCTTGGGCACAACCCAGGCGCCCGACACAGCGCGATGCAGCACAGAAACCAGGCAAAGTCACCCCAGTGCACACTACAGAAACCAGGCAGGACTGCAGCAGGTGCCACTGCAGCCTCTCTGGCAGCACACACAAGAAACCAGAGGAAAAACCTCCCACGTTAACTTGCACACAGCAATGGGTCTGGCGCCCAGGGGCAGGCAGAGATCGGAGAAGGCAGGTGAGCCCGGCTGCAGACCTGCCTCCATCCTCCCTGCAGCACAGGCTGAAATGCGTGCGAGTGGAGGGCCCTTCCCAAGCCCCTGCTTCCTTCTCCTCACCTCGTTGCTGATGGTCGAATCTCGGTGCATCATCCTCTGAATGTGGGAATCCAGACTTGCCCCGGACGAGCACTTGGCCAGGGCTGCGGCGTGCGACTCCTTCTCCCTCTGCCGGACGATGGCCTCGCAGCCCAGCCACTCGGCCATGGTGTGTTCGTAGCACGTGCGCGTCTGCTCGTCAGCCTGCAGCCACGGGACACGCAGCCTCTCTGAGCAGCTGGCCCTGGCACCGCCCGGGAACCGGCGCCTCCTCCACCCCAAAACAGCCCTCCCGAGACGAGCTACACACATCCTTGCATCACCTACGGCTGGATGGGACAAAATCCCCCGCTTGACCTGCTCTCTGCTAGAGAGTCTAACCAGGAAGCCTTGCAAAAACTAGGTTGGAAAAATGATCATCCACCTCCTTCCTACACGAAGCTGGGAACAGGGCGCTCTTCGGAGCTGAGAAGCTGCACAGAGGAACTTCAAGCTGGTCCTGCCAGCTCCTTAGCATCTGGATCTTTCTCCCATCTCCTGTCTACAGTCCCAGGACAATGTGGTCTACAGCCCCAGGACCTGTGGGTTTCACAGCGTGGCTCTGGTACATGGAGGCTTAGAGCTAGGCAACACTCAGGGCACACAAATGCAGTGCACCAGCTTGCTGAGCACACTGCACACCCATACCAACCTCCTTCCTTTCCGCCTCCGTCATCCCAAACTGATAGTGGCCCAAAAGGAAGGGCCAGACGGCCTTCCTGATCTCATGCTGGATGCCACCATAGTAGATCAGCCGCAGCAGCTCCTGGTCCTCGTAGCTCTGCGAGCAGAACTCCGCATCACTCCACAGTGCCGGGTCTTGGAGCCCCTCAGGCCACAGACCCCAGGGCAAGCCCAGCTCCGTCACACGCCAGACGTGCCGGGAGCACCAGCCCTACCGTGCTGTCCTGCAGGTATCTCTGCCAGATGTCCACGGTGAGGCCCGAGCTGGCGCTGCAGGGCACGTCTGGAGACACGATGTTGTGGTTAACCAGTGCAGAGAGGTGGGTGCGCACGGTGGACAGGTGCCTGCAGTAGGCCAGCCCTGCAGCAAGCATGGGCAGACATTCGTCTGGAGCACTCCAAGGGGCAGAGGAAATATAAGATCAAGGGCAGAAAAGGGCTCTCGTGAATCTGGTCCCAAAGGGCAGCTTCTGAAGCCACATCCAAGCTAACCAGCAAAAAAGGGAGTCTTGCTGGGACAAGCCAGTATTTTGCTGTCTTATTCCACCAGCATCACTGCCCCCTGGGTCAAGGTCTGAGGATCAGAATCAGAGCGTCTGCTCCCAGTCGCGACCATGTCTAGATGCAACCTAGTGAGCCAGTGCCCTTGGTCACCACCCCGCTACATGAGCTCCACTCCTCGCCTTGGGCCCAGGACCTCAACCCTGGCCCCTCACACATCTCTGACGCATCGTGGGGAAGAGACAACTACTCACATCCATAAAAAGCTCTGGAGAGGATCTGGTACTTCATATTGTCACACAGGAGCTTCAGTGGGGCTCTGCCAATAAGAACACATAAGATGTGGGAGGAGTGCAGGCTCCCAGCAGAGCAGCCCAACCTGCTCCATGAGGTCCCACTAAGGAGCTGGCCTGGCAGGTGCCAAAGCATCAGCTGCCCTGCACCCCTGCGTAGCTCAGGATCCGCCAAGACATCCCAGAGCAGGAGCCCACCCTCACTTCACCCTGGATGTAGCCCCTGCACAACTGCAGAGAGGCACCATGGTGCGGCCCTGCACCAAACTCCGCCGGGCTTCCCACCGTGGCCCTGCGCTGCTTCATCCGCAGCTCCTTAGAGCTACCTCTCGTGGCTGCAGCCGTTGGACGGGCCGCCGTCAGAGGAGCCGCTCTGGGAGCAGGAGGAGCAGGAGGACTTGCGGGTGCTCGGCTGCCACATGGGAGGCAGGCCACCCGCCTGCGTGTCCATCAGGTCCTGGGGCACTGCAAGAGGGCAGAGAGGGGGGGCATCAGCCGCTGCCTGGCACTGCCCCTGCAACCGCCCCCAGGAGGCCAGCGGAAAGGAGAGGTTCGATTAGTGAGCCAGCGTCCTCCCAAGGAGACTCCATTAACCAGGCAGGACCCACGCCAGGTGATCGCAGCAGCAGCAGCAGCACCGAGGAGCTCAGGAGAAAGGAAGGGAAGCAAAGAACGCTGATGAGAGAGCAGGAGAGCACCATCTGCTAATTATTTCCAGTGCCTTCAGCAAACTCATCCCGAACCACTGAGTGCCAATTCAGGCAGAAAACCCAGCCCAGAGAGAGCCAAGGCAAGGGGCTGCGACAGGCTCCATCACAAAGAGAAGCAATAACCTGATGAAACTCTGACCCAGGAAGAATGGATCCCTGGCAGAAGAAAAGGCCCCATCTTTCAGACATCAGGGTCCCACAGGAGCCTTAGGGAAAGAGAGGAGCACCGCGGTCACAAGACAGGAAAGAAAAGAACTGATGGAGCAGCTGAGAGGGACAGCATGGGCAAGCAGCTCTTTATGTTGTCATTTGCTAAATCCCTGCTTAAACTCAGAAGCCCTATTGCAAATGCCTCCGATTTTGCTTTTTAAACCCAGGTCAAGGTACTGACCTAACTACTGAGCCTCACTAGGATAGGGACTGACTTACAATGGCCTTTAGTGTTGCACCTCCCTAGGACAGGGACATCACGAAGAAGGTGAACTATGGGATGCAGACTAAGATCAGGGAAGAATCATCCTATCTGTTCCTCGCTAGGAATCAAAACATGGTGGAAATTGAAGCTTTCATCCAGGAGAGGGCCTGTTCCCTGTGAGGCTCAGCAGCTCTCCCTGCTTGTGATACTGAATAACTGCTGATCCAGGCAAGAAGAGACGGGAATATTCTCACTGAAGCCTCTTCCCTCTCCCTCTGCGTGAGCAGGTGGCCACAGCTCTGTTACGGACAGCAGTGACAGGGGACACCTCACTGCAGGAATTGCCAAATGACAGCACAGGCAAGACGCTGTACCAAACATGAACGAGAGCTGTATTACAGTGACGCCGAGCGGCCCCCAAAGCGGCTAGGGGAGGTCGGGACGCGGCGAGGAGGCTCAGAGACCATTTGGGGATCACCACCATCTTGCTTGAAGCTGGAGTCCTCCGGATCTTCCCTCTCCCAGAAGGGACGGAGATCGCAGAAGCAAGGAATGTAGGAAAATTACCATTAATGGTAACTGAAGAAGACACAGAGACAGGACAAAGGCACAAATGAATGGAGGGAAAAAACAATATGTAAAGAAGAAAGAGCTGATGCAGTTCTAGCTGCCTCCTGGGAACATCCACGGGAACCACACGGGCCTCTGACATCAGCTGAGGAAATTGAAACAATTCATTTAACAGAAAATTTGGCCTCCAGCATGGAATTTTATGGAGTAGATCAAAAGGAAGCTACAGAAAGGATCCTCACTATCAGCTATTTTAGCTTCAGTCAGATTTTTATCTGACTCACTTAATTGTGTTACTCAGCTAAAGGTGGGGGGAGACTAAGGATAATTTTTACTGATGTTATGGAGGAGCTGGAGGAGATGTGAGGACCCTTACAGTCTCAAAAGCGTAGAAACAGATTTTGATCAAATTTCATGCTTTTTAAAAGCACTCCAGCAGGTTTCTGTTGCACTCCTGGTTTCTCCTCTTCTAAAAACATCTACAGAGTTTCCAGCAGGATCGTTGTAAAAATGTTCTTGGTATCCTAAGAGAGGAGAATGAGATGTACATTCAAACATATTATTCAGATCACTCAGAACTAGGTGTTAAGAGAGATTTCTGGTCTCCAAGTTAGGCAGGATCATCTCCCTTGCCCTGGGAGCTAAGGAGGGAAGATATGTGGCTCAAGCTTGGCAGTGCACAGAGCAGGGTGCTGCTACCACCTCTCTGTGCTACAGGAGCAAAGGAACAGAGCTGGATTTATTGGAGTGCTTCCCTATTTGGTCTGGTGACAGCAAGAGAAGATCAGATCTGGAGGCTGTAATGATGAAAGCTAATCCTCTTCACAGACACCTGCTTCCTTGAGGGAGAAGAAAGGCCCAAGAACATGACCAAAGTACCAACGTTCATTGGTACTGAGTTATGCGTAAGAATTTTTTTCAACCATATAAGTATTTGCATCCTATTCTACAGCTGCAGAAACAAAAGATTCAGTAGCAAGCAAAAGGTTAAAAAAAAAATAAAAGGCAGTTCTGCCATGAATAAAACTCTTCTCTGGAACCACTTCTCAGTAGAGCTTGTAATACGTCTGACCACGCTGGGTCTTGGTCTTGTCATACCCCCAGTGATAACCCACCCGAAACACCTACTGCCAACACACTTACCAAACTCAGCCTGTGTCCCTGGATAGATTATTCTGAAAACATAATCTGTGGCTTCGTCGTCTTCCTTGTCGGACGCAGACTCGGAGGAGCCCTGGGGGCTTCGCTTCCTCAGCTTGGGAAACACCTTCCCCTAGGTGAACAAAACGGCTCTTCACAAAGCTGCCCCACGTCCCTCTTGCAGGGCAGTGTGGCCACCACCTCATTCTCCAAGGTCGTGCCTGACCAAAGCACATGCTCTGTCAGCCTGGGCTGATGTCTGCATGTTCCTTGAGCAGGAGACGTCTTCCAGCCAACCTTTTGCTTATGCTGAGAGTCAATAACCCTGGTTGTACATACAGCTGCTATAATCCATGTAGCACAGATGACAATAATCCATAATCCATGACGAGGTCCATTGGACCTAAACCTAATACGCCTTGTGGAGTGGCAGCACTCCACACCTCCTCCCTCATCACTGGTGTGGAGACCCCGCTCTTCTCCTAAGGCCAGGCAATCACAAGCAAAAGGCTTGGGACTAGCCCAGAAGCTCAAGGGTAGGAGCTAAACCCGAGTGCCATATTTCAAGCCTGTCTTTCTTCCCACTTTGGAGGGTTTGTCATTTAAAATACAGCACCAATAACACTATGCAGAGGGTCCTCCCCTTCAGATCTGCTCTGAGAGCCCATAACACCGTGTCCTCAGGGACAAGTCCCGTCCCTGGTGCCTACCTTTCCCCGCTGCGACCACAGGGGTGGATCCAACTGCCCATGGGGTAGGAGGCCGTTTTCCAGGCAGGACAGGAACTGTAGCAAGTGTCCTCCTTTGGGGAACCTCAGCGGAGGCCGCTGAATCCCATCCTGGCTCACCAAGACAACAGTCCCACCACTGTCTACTATTAGTAACAGCAGAGAAAAGACAGATACACAAGTGAGGGAAACAATAGCAGCCAGAAATGCAGAGGAAAATTGTCTTTCTGGCATTCAAAGCACCAGGATTTTGATGTTTTGAACTTGGTGCTAAAGACATTTGCCCTGCAGTTGAATGAAAACATTTAGAGAAGAGTACATCCCCAAAATATGATGCAGATGTCAGGGTAATAAAAGGGGCACACAGCACCATCCAGTCCAGCAGCCCTCCACACTCTGGCCTTACCTTGCTGGTGGCAGTGCAAATAGACGATTTCCTCCAGGCGAATGGTCATGGCATAATCCCAGTACACACTGCAAGAGAAAGAGAAGTCCTGAGCTTGAGGGATGCAAGAAGCTCTACTTCACATGTGCTCCAGATCCTGCCCCAGCTATCCTAATGCCTTGGAAAGGCAGACAAAGGATGTGGCCTCAGTATCAGTGTGAGTACCACAAGGGAGACTGAGTCAGTAACAACATCCCACCCCGAACAGCTACATCCCCTTTCTGCTCCATCTCAATCAGAGCTTCTCTAGTCCCACCTGCCTGAGACTGCTCCTCTGCCCTTGCATCTCCATTGCGCAGCAGGAGCATTGCACTCCAGGAGCATCCTGGAGCCCAGGGAGCTCAGCACTCTGCTCGAGGCGCCCTGGAAGCGCCTCCTGTGGTGCCAGCAGCCCCAGGAAGCCGGTACAAGCAGCTCAGGAGGTCCAAGAGGACACGCAGTGCAGCCCGAGCCTGAGCCTGCTGCTCTGGTGAGCTCCTTTATCCAAGACACAGGGAATAAGCTCTAACAACTTGTCGTTTTCCCAAAGCTCGAAACAAATTTGTCTCTGTTTGCTTCTGCACAACACACAGGGCAGAGGGGCACAGAGACCTCAGGAGGAAGCTCAGCAACAGGACTGCTCTGCAAGAGTGTCAGCATTTAATAACATCCTATTCCACTGGAAAAAAAATCCAGATCCTAAGAATCAATATATGGCACTCTGCAAAAATAGTGCTTAAAATATAGGCATTAAAAACAGCTCATAAGGAGGGTTTAATACGCGGAGGTGTGTAAGAGTCACTCCATTGAAGACATATACTCACTTTGTCATCTGGCTCCTCTCTTCTTTGGTCACATCTTGACACTGGGAAATTTTAGAGCTTAGGCTGATGCCCAAGCCAAGAACTCAGAAAGGAGAGTAGAGATGGAAATAGCAAATTGAGGGTGAGGGTACCAGTTATATGGTACCCCAGGAGCCAGAAGTAAAGAGAAGATGAAAGGAACACAGAAAAACAAAATCCAAAAACTACAATTGAGAATAAACAAGCTGAAAAGAAGCTTTGCTGAAGACTTCTTTCTCCAGACCAAAGAAACATACTATGTCCTAAATGCTCCAGCTTTCTCGGAGCATCTACTGGGAGAAAGAGAATCTCCTTTTGTTGTGTTTTGTTTTTCAGGCAAATTGGTGCCTGGCATGATTCAGTAGCTGCTAAAAAATTGCTGTTGTCAAGAGAAGTGCCACCAGCACAGATGCCAATCCCAGATGCAGGGGCTCTGCAGTGCACACTATCGAGTAAGCTTCTCCTAAGTAGATTTCAGCCCTACCAGAGGAAAAAAAAAAAAAAATCCAGGGACTCCATTAAATCCAAAGGACTTTGAATACCTCTGCGAAAGATCAGCTGCAGAGTGCACTCATAAACAGCAGTCTGAAACGGCACACACTGCTACTGAGGTACAGTTATTTGGGAGCTGCTCATGTCTCCTCTCTCTGCAGATGCTCCTTCCCTTTTTACACGCTCTTTGGTTCCCCAGACTAACCAGGGATAACAAATACAGATGTGTGCTGCACATCTCCCCGGGAAATCACTGGGGACAATAAAGCAACCAGCATTGCAGCTTGCAGAATAAGCACCCTCCCCAGCTCATCCCTGCCATCACCCTCCTTCCCTCTCCCACCCTCCTTATAAACTCCAGGAGGATCTTTCCACTCTGCAACGTGAGCAGAAAAACCTCATGGAGGGCAGCAAGTGGCAGATCCAAGCTCTGATCCTCCAGGGCATCTGCTCCCTCTCCACCCCACGTTAGCTCGCCCTTAGAGCCAGTCACCTCTTCTCGTAGTCCAGATCCCCCACGGAGCCGTTCATCAGCTGATTGGGAGTCCACTTCAGCGCCATGATGTCGGCAGCCTGGTGAAGCGACAGGTATCCCGGGATTGCTTCCATGTCGTCGCGCTTTGGAAAGGTAACGCAAGGAAGGCGTGAGCTGGGGCGAGCAGCCTGGAGGGTGCAGGAGCGCGCAGGGCCCCCGGGGGCACCCCACGCTGCCCAAGGCTGCCCCATGCCCTGGAGCAGAGCCCTGGGCTGTAAGGGGGCCCTGCTGCTGCCCGCAGCCCATCTGCTCATTGCTAGTGAGCAACCTGCAGCAAAACCTCCCCACAGAGCTAGCAGGAGACCTTGCTGGCCTGGCAGGAGGCCGGGAGCAGCTGCCTAGCTGAGACAAACCATCAGCGGCTCCGGGTAAGCAGTTTTGCTTTATTCGATTACAGTCAGCAGAAGAGGAACTCTGTCCGTATTCAGGCGGAAGCAGAGATCTTCCATTCCACCAGGAAGATCCGTATTGCCAGGACCTCAGTAAATGCATTCCAGCTGCTGCCCTCACAGACTGAAAATGAGCTTGTCCCCATCTCCATCCAAGACCACCCTGGACAGAACTACCTGTAGGGCAGCAGAGCAGGAATGCAAAGCCCAGACACCCCATCAGGTACTCACTGGCTGCACCAGGACGTTGTTTTTGCCATAGAGGAGCGTGGCGCGGGAGTTCTGGTGCAGGGACTCCACGTAGTCCCTGGCAGACAGGGATGGTCGGTCATCCATACTGCCGCTCGAGTGCCTTTTCTGAATCTGGAAGAGATCAGCTGTGAATGTGAGTTGAGAACACACATCTTCTGCTTTAAAAAGAGCCTGTCCTGAAAGTTTATTCCTTCCCTCAGCTACCCACTGAAGCAATGCACTCTTCGTGCCCTCCAAGAGGATCTTGGCTGTAGCCAAGCTCAACTCTGTAGTTTCAAAAGCCCCAGGACTGCACTTGCTTGCAGTAAACAGAATAAGCTTCAACTGCCTTCACTTTTAAGTCACATATGCTGCTCCCAAAGGGCTGATGCCAGGATGTCCTACTGCTCCAGCAAGCCTACTTTCCCCATAGCCTGTGCTTTCACCTTGGAGACTTCAAGTAACTGCACATTTCTACCTCTGCTCCTCAGAGGGCTTCAGAGCTCTCTTCAGAGAGATGGAGTCCCAGGCCTGGCCCAGGAGGAGCGCGGTGCAGGCTGCCCACGCCGGTCCCTGCCCGCACTCACACAGAGCGCAGGGCGCTTGGTCGGGGAGTCCTGGCGACAGTGCGAGCTGTGGATCCGGTGCCTCTGAACGAGCTCGTCGGCCGAGGGATCTGTCCAGAAGTGATCGGCTGTCTTCATCTTGGTGTACTCCAGCGCGCAGGGCCCCACTGCAGGGGAAGGAAGTGGCAGACAAGGTGAGATCTGGGAAGCCATCAGCACACAGGACACACAGAACCCAGCGTCCCAGAGCAGGAGTGGTGGGATGGCAAGGAGCCAGCTCCAGGCTCAGGACATATTGCTGCCTATGTAAGAGCAGCCAAGACACGGCGATACTCAGTGCCCTGGCAGCGAGCAGCCAGCCAGCCCATTACACAAGTAGCCATACGCACGCAGAGCCTGCATTACAGCTCTTTACTGCTCTGCACGTCCAGGCTTCAGTGCTGGTTTCTGCCTGTCAGGATTCCTGAAGCCTGGATCCTCCCATCGGCAGCCGTCTGTGCTCTTGCTACAACCCCGCGCAGCTCCAGGAGCTGGCCCAGGACTACGTCCTCTAGAGCCCTCACTGAACATCGTGGATTTGGGAATACAGGTTTGGAAAGACAACTATGAAAGTTGGGTAAGAGGAAAGTGTTACCCAGTAAAGATGCCAGGATTGGCCCATCCACGGGATCCATCAGGAGAGCTTCCTTCTCATAGTACTTACTAGAAGAAATAAAAGAGAGAGAGAACACTGCAGCATTTCAGCCCCCTGGGAGTGCAAAGAGACAGAGACAGCGCTTTGAAATCACAAAAATGCCCTTTTCTGCATCCCCCTTGCTGAGGGGACAAGCAGCTTATTACAGGCCGTTCCTGCCAGCCGTGCAGGTGTGGGGGAACAAGCCTCCTGCCCTGCAAGAACCACCATCACTTGAGAAAACCTCCCGAGGGCTGCAGACAAAACCTCCCCGGGAGGGGACATCCGGACATGCCATCTCTAAAAGCTGGGGAAAGACAAGGACAGTGCAAATGCGGAGCACTCGGCCACAGGCAGAAACAAGCCTGTCTTTATTTCAGGAGTGAACTTCACCCTCCAGCGCTGCTCCAGCAGCAGGGATCAGCTGGAGGCCTGTCCAGAGCACAGCACAACGCAGCTGGGCTGTCCCACCCGGGCACCCCCACGGTCCCCCCGGCTGCAGCTCAGCCAGCAGCTCCTTGGGGAGATGCAGGCTCTGGGGATGCTCCTGGGAGCAGCTGCCAGGAGCAAAGGGGCGGCCCACGCCAGCACTCACCTGCAGTTCTCAACCAAGTAATGCACGATTTTATCCAAGACCTTGTCGAAGAGGGCTGTGCGGATCCAGAGGTGCTTGATGGCTTGAGGAGACAGGTTGGGCAGCTTGGGCACTTTGCGCACGTTCTCCGGGACGCCCGGGACTTGGTTTCGTCTTTAGAGGCACAAGGCAGAAGAGGAGATCAGCACTGAGCACCGCAGGGCTCCTCACGCACCTCGTGGGGCACCCGCGCAGGCTCCCGGTGGTGCTGACTGCCCTGCCCAGGGAACCCGTGCGTGGGGACGTTCAGGGACTGCTCCCTCCAGCCACTCCGCTCCCTGCCCCCAAGGCCCAAATCTACATTTGAAAAGGGACTCCACTAAACCAATTGCCAACAAGAAAAGTGTCCAGGTGAACTCTCTGGCTCAGTGGAGTTCTCAGACCTGCAGACCTTTTCCCCGGTGTCTGAAGATAGAGATCTGTAAGCAAAGCAGCTTATCTTAGGCCAGCTTAAACATTCCTGCCCCAAGGTAGTGCTTCATGCCTCTCCCTGGTACCTGTTCAAGGATGAATAAGTCACTCTCCAGCAGCAGCTGAGTAACTGCAGGTTAAAGCCCTGTACGTTGAGGAGAACCACATTTGCCTCCAGTTGACTTATTGATCCACCAAGTGTGACAGCTCAGGAGCAAGCATGCTAAGCAGGAGTGGGACTGAGGCACAGTAAACAGCTGGGGCTGCTTCCTGCTCATTCAGGACACCAACAGCCCGAGCCTGGACTCTGCTTTGCCAAAAGAGCAACCCGCCCAACCCAACCAACCCTCAGGTTGACCGTGCAACCACCCACGGCAAGCCGCAAGCGGAGGCAGGAATGGAGGTGCCTTACGCGTTCTCAATAAGCTGCTCCAGGTCTTGCACCTTCTTGCAAAGCTCCTCCGCCAGAGGAAAGCTCTTGCCCACCTTCATGAACAGAGCCGCTATCTTGTTACTGCGCAGGAATCCAGCCGCCCGCCGCTTCAGCCCATGCAGGACACAGGCCTCGACCGCAGCTGCAAGAGGAGAGAGCAGCGCTGCAGGACCCCCCGCGCCAGGATCCGCAGTGCTTCCCAGGAGAAACCAACCCGGGCTCTAGGCCCTGCCTAACCAGATAAAGAAGAGCAAGGAACCCAGATGTCTTCTGACCCAAAGCAGCAGGTCGTTCGGCCTTTCAGCTTTGCAAAACGGAAGACGACAAATTGAGCCTGTTGCTACTAGAAATTTGTCTAGTCTGAATAAAAGCACTGGTTTAATGCATATGAACATGATCCATGGGTATGCCAGGACATAAGCATTTTGGAGGAAAGTTAACATCTGGTGAAGCAGGTGCAGGGTTTCCATGAAGGCACTGGAAGGGACTAGTCAGCTAGACCAGCTCCTCTCGGGCTCGCTTTGTCTGAGGTGCCAGCCACCTGAGGGGACCTTGGGAGCTGGGCAATGAAAGGGGAAGGAGCCGCTTCCAGACAGGAGCTGCCCTCGAGGGAGCCGGGGCCGCAGCCTGCGCAGCCGCCCGCTCTGCTCCCTGCCAAACGGCCGGGCAAGGACGGCAGCATCCAGCTCCACAAGACAACACCCTGAAGGCAAACAAAGCCGGGCCTGCGTGGGGACAGGTGACACCCCAGGGCCTGCCAAGCACTCGTTCAGGGCATCGCTGCCCTTAGTTTCTTTCCGCACCGGGGAGCTGCCCAAACCACGGCAATTAGAGCGCAGCGGCAGACGGACTGCAGCTGTGGACACCCAGGGCCAGGCAAAACTGCTGGGGCATCATTAAGGGATGAGAAAGAGCCAGCAAGTCCTTTGTGCCTGGATGCCTCAGCTCCGTGTCACAGGCGGCTATAAATAATCCCAGGCTGCGAGGCCTCGTGCTGCACAGCAAAACAGCATGAGTCACACCTGGAGCGCTGTTCTGCTCTTTCGATGCCACTCTGCCCACGGCGAGCAGAGACACGCAGGCTGGGGCCAGGAGCTTGCACGTCTTTTACCCGGGGCGCAGGAGGGAAAGGCAGGGGCCCTTCTGCTCCCCAAAGCAGCCAAAGGGGACCCCACGGCTGCCTTCCTTTCCTCTTGAATGCATATTAAAGCTCTGTGGATGCTCTGCGGATGCTGCAATCTCAGTCGGTGCTGACAGCACCGCAGGAGCCTTCTCAGAGCAGCTTCCTCAGGAGCCAGTAGTCACCGCGCTGCCATCCTTGCCAGCTCCCATGCAGCGAGGTGGCCCTGGCGCATGCGGCCGCCCCGCGCAGCGCCCGCATGCACGGAGGCAGCGCGCTGCGGAGGCTCGGCCACGCCGCGGCCTCCACCGCTCACCCGGAGGCCGCGGCTCCGCGTGCGGGTGCGGGAGAGCAGCGCTAGCGCTCTCGGCATCTGTCAAACTGCCAGCCCTGGGCCTGTGCAAGAGCCAGCAGGAAATCTCTGCCCTCAGGCAGGGTCAAAACTCAGGTGAAGGTGGTCCCAAACTATCCGATCTGCCCTTGAAACCAGCCCTGCCTAGCGGGGGACTAGGCCAGACACCTCCCGAGGCCACCTCCAGCTCCAGTTATTCCGTGACTACAAGTCACCACAGCCTTTAACAGCTGCTGTCCTGGGCAGCCTGAGCTGCAAGGCCGAGCGGGAAGGCACTGGAGTTTTCCATCCTCAGAAAGCTTTGGGGTTTGCCTTTTAAGGAAGATTGCTCAGCTTAGGACCCCGCTTCCAAAATACATTCCCACCTCAAACCCTGGGTGCAAGAGCACTGAGCAGACGCCCGGAGCAGCAGAGGCTGCCTGTGCGTGCTCGGTCTCCCTCCGGGCAGGTGGCAGTCTGGGCCCCTCTGCTTGCTCAAGAACCTGCTTCACCCAGGGCATTAATGCGCTGAAGACAAGCACTTACTTTCCTGTTGCAACAGATGACTCTGAAATTTCAGTGAAAGGCCAAAACAATAGAAACAATCTGATTTTGTCACCTTGGTTACAAAGTCTCCCCTGATGATCAGCAAAAGCAGCTTAAGAGAACAGAGAGATTCTGTTCTCGTGTGTCAGAGGAGGGACGGGGAGCCGACGTGCTGGGCTATTAGCGCAGCTGGCAGAAGACAGGCCCTAAACCAGCATGGTATCTGAGCAGATCCTCCACGAGCCCAGCTGTAATGGTATCACAGCAGTTAGTTCTGCCTTTCCTGCATTCCCCCAACCTGGAGACTCCTTTCCATAAACTCCCATTCTATAGCAGCTAGTAAAGATTTAGACTTAACAAATTCCTGCTGAACTAATTCTCAAGGGGAAAGAAAGATCATTTTCAGTGTTGCAGAAGTGATGGTGCACATTGCCAATGTCCTTCCCTCTTCCAGCACGACTCTCTTCCAAGCGCAGAGCAAAGGCCTTGGGGACTGGTTTGCAGCCAGCACAACCCCGGTGCCACTCTGAGCACTGTGGCCCAGGAAGGCAGTGTCCCCCCTCCGCAGGACACCACAGGAGTGCTGCAAGAGCCCGACACCACAGGAGTGCTGCAGACGCCGGCGGTGCGAAGCCAACTGTCCCGCGGCCCGGGACTCACCGCAGAAGGAGATGATGTGGCTGCTGTCCTCGTGCACGAACTTCCTCGTCACGGCTTCCTCCATGATCTGCTTCACCTGCCAGAGAGGCCCGAGTTAGAGAAGACATCAAACGTCACCCACAAGCCAGAGGCCTGTGGCAGAGGCCACGCACAGGGCGTCCGCGCCGCGGGAAGGAGCGTGGGGTGGGCGCACGGAGCCCCCGGCCCCGCGCGGGAGCCTCTTCCACCGCCCCTGCTCCAGCAGCCTCCAGCGGCGTGAGCTCTCTGGGGACATCGTGGGCTATTCCAAGGAGTTCAAACAAGAACAACAGGAGAAGCAAATGTTTTGCTTTGAGAAACTTCAGGAGACACTGGACAGAGTATTGACTGCAGGAATCAACAGCAGATAAAAGGCACCTTAATCGAGGCCACTAAATCTTATTTAATGCTATTATAGTGGTTTTATTCTCCTTCATTTTATGAGGATTTGTCAAATTTCACAGCACACAGCCATCCCAAACGGCCCCAACCTCTTGCTAATGCCCACGTCAGCACCACCTGCTCACCAAATGCGAGCAGGAGTGTTATCTGCATAGCAATGCTGCCAGCACTGCCCTCCCAGCCACTGAGTCTGCATCACTTGAGACACATTCTTGGCACTCATTTCTGTTCTCTTAATCAAAAAGAAACTGTCATATCAGGGCATGGTAAGGGGAAGAAAATAAGTTGGAACCCACACAAAATAGGATTATGATTTTTGCAGGCACAGGAAGGGATGTCAGGAGGGAAGGCACCATCCTGCAGCCAGACGGCTCCTCCATACCCCACAGCCTGCCAGCCAAGCCCTGCCAGGCCCCAGCAGCAGCCACGGCATCTTCCGTCCTCGTCTGTCCCCGACGTGTCCCCGTGTCCCCGCTGCAAGCACCACAGTGTGTCCACGCGGAGCCCATCCTGCCTCCCCACGCTCACCCTCCCTGCTCCCACTGAAATCAGCACCAGTCCAGCTGCACGAGCGGCCCTTGAACATTGGCACTCCTCAACAGCATTTCCCTTTAAATGCTGACCTGCCAGCATGCCCCATTGCATCTTGCAGTGCCTCTAAAACATCCTGCTTCTCATGCTCTGGATTCAGAAAAGGAGGGGAGAGACCTTTAACAGCACCATTTGGGGAGCTAGACTCCTCTGGAAGCTATAACCAAGGTCAGTTATGCACAGCTGACACCTTAGTTAAAGAAACCCTTTTCCAAACATGGATTAAGCAAAAGCCACACCTAAACCCAATGAGTCCCTGCGGGTGTCCAAGCAGACAGGTCAGCTCTGCTCCAGCATGTGCAGTGACTCACGGAGGCTGCTCTCACACCTCGGAGGGAGCGGGGCTCGCGCAGCGACTTCACCCGTGTGCCCAGCAGCGCCGATGAGCTGATGTGAGTCAGGAAACTGCAGCAGGGAACGTAATTGGGATGTGCAGCGAACATGTTCTGGTCTGCTTAAACTGGAGCGGGGGTGAGAACCGCGTCTGTGCGCACAGCAGGGCCCAGGGAGACCCAGGCCGGGACGCTGGGACCGTGACGCGGCAGCGCCCACGGTCCTGCCACGTCCTAGGGAACGGGGAGCCCCTCAAATCGCCTCTGGCCACACGCACTGGGGGCTGCCCAGCAGCCGCCAGCCCCAGCATCCTGGCCCTTAATGCTCACTGCCAGAGGGGCAAGCACAGAACCGTAGCCGTGTTGCGGGGCCCCTTCGGGCAGCCCCCACGCGGCTCTGCCCGCAGCCCAGCACCGGCACCGTGCTGGCCGCCGCGCTCGGCGCCTCGCCACAGGGCCAGCTCCGCACCCGAGCTCCAAGGCTTCCACCGTGGCTCATGTGAGGCTTCAATAAAGCAGAGGGAACACCGTGAAACAGGGACAGGGCCAGCACAGGTGGCAGCAGCCGGGCAGGAGGCCCTCTCATCTGCTGCACCGTGCCCAGGCACCTCTTTGCCCTTCGCTGCGCTGCAGTTAGACACGGGAAGAAAGCTACAGCACAGCCTCTCACCCGCCAGGAACCAGCGCCCAGCACCTGCTGCAACAGACTTCTTCCTCTTGCCGAGTCCAACAGAACTTCCCCACAATGAAGTGTCACTCCTTTCTTTGGAGACATGAGACAACCCAAGAATATCCCTGAACATCCCCCGGACTGTTCTTATCCTGGTTTCACCACTCTGCAGTGCTTCTGCTCAGCCCCAGGCCGCCGCTGCCCTCACCTTCTTGGTGTGCCTCATTCGTCACAGGGCCCTGGGCATCTCGCACATACTGAGCTGATCTATTAGAAAATGATTAACCCACAGAGAGATAAAATGTGCTTTCTTGGCAGGGCTGGTCTGCTCTCAGCTCCAGGGGCCTGTTCCTGCCTCCGTTCTCCTCCGTGCAGCTCAGGGGACTCCGCTGATCGCGGGGACAGGAG